TCTATAGGGAGAAGGCCAATGATGCCGTACAGTCTCTATAGGGAAGAAGGCCCATGAACAAGGCCCTCAAGTCGTACGGCCTAAAGCGAAATCTATCCGTCACTGGCTCTACCTGCTAAGCGGAATCTGCAACAATTTCTTTTAAGTATATGTAGGGCATATCTAGGGCCAGGGGACCCGGAATGTACGACCGTGGGACCGGCGAGGGACCTAATTTATGTGCCTTCCGGTCCCCAGCCCATTCGAGCTCACATAAGCACCAAAAACTAAAGTATTCGCAATTTTTTTCGAGTGTTATAAGTAAGACGTTTAACGAAGAACATATTGACAAAGAATTGTGCCTTTACGTTCGCGTTTAGGCACAGGTCTGACTTTGGATGAGAGCAGGACACTTTGTCAAATTCACTGCTGGTCATTGTATTAGACTCGGTTGATATAAGAGTGTTTCACGCAAGTATGGGTACTAGCGAAAGGTAACCGCTCCGATGGCAGCGAGCACGATTGCGGTAACAGATAGAGGAGCAGCTGTGAAGGTCACAAACCAACGTGCGAGAAGAGCGTGGATGGTCAAGCAGCAAAGCCTCAGCAGGTACCAAACGGGTACATGTTTAGCGCAATCACAGAAGGCAGAAGTGTGGCGCCTCTCGTGAGCCTCTCGCTTAGTTCGGTTCGCAGTCTTCTGTGTCCGCTGTGTTGCCTAGCCAGGGGCTGGGACAGCGCCCCGGTTGGCGTGAGTGAGGGGGTGAGGCGAGCGCGGCGGAACAGACGGACGTAGAGCCACGCGCCCGCCCGCCCCTGTGTTTCGGCCCGGTCATAGCCCCCGGTGCTTGTCCTCTCTCGGGACGAGCCGCCCACAGTGTAACACCCCATCAGAAGCAGCGGCAGCTGGACAGAGCTCCCTGCCTCACGAGCACACAAAGCAAATCGCCTTGAAGTGGCGGCAGCTGTCATAGGCTGATGATGGGCCGGGGCTGCCGTGTGAATCCCTGGCAGGCGCGCGACTTGCGCTGCGTGTGAAATCCTGCACACCCTACACTACACACATAACGCAATCCCCTCTAAGACCGAGAATTCATGCATTTCTTCACATACACTGAATGAATGAAGGTTACAGTGGACCCCGTGCAAGGTCGGTGCAATGCATCCCCGCATCACAATGCCCGAAAGTGAACAGTAGCTACAGCCCGCCAGCAGAACACCCAAAAATGCAGACACCCAGCGGGACACCACTACCAAACAGGGGGCAACAGCGACGCATCACAACTGCACCAGAAAATTATAAAGCAGGACTCGGGGAAAGTCGCCTACACAGGCACCTCAGGACACACTACCACAACCTACACACAGCCCTCTAAGGGGGTGGCGCTTGCATCAGCCAGAGCTTTGCTCGGCTCACCCGAGCAACCATCTGCAATTGAACTTGGCCCACCGTGCCCAGGGCCACGGGGCAGGCCCAGGAGTGATGCTGCCGCAGGGTGGCTCCCCCACCACCCACCGCGGGGGTCCCGCGGAGGTCCCGCAGCCCCACCAGGCCACCACCGTGCGGCGCATGTCAATGTGACAGCGTCGGAGATAATCGGTCACTTGTAATACGTTGTCCTGTGGAAAATGCACTTCGTGCGACATGCGACTTGACTTGACCCGACGAGTTGACCTGCCGAACCTCTTTGTCCTTGGAATCCTGGTTCCTAGAGTGAGCCTCCATTGCATCTCTTGGTGTTTTCATGAGTGATCGCTGCGTTGATCGATTGAGTTCGGTTCCGCAAGGTTCCGCTTGTTCTTATCTTTGGGTTCACCGTATTCTTGATGAATTTCGTAAAGCTTTTCTGGAGTTAGTTTTGGTTCTACTAACGCCACCACGTCAAAGTCTACTTTGACGAGCGGAGCCCCTTGTCCTATTATTGTATGGACGCTCCTGTAGCGTTACTCTCCCGATTCTTTACGAAGAATGAAAATTGGATTGCTACTTGGCCATACAGAGTGGCTGCTCGCGCAAAGTTAATTCCTGGACTCCATGGACGTGCATCACTCCACAAAGTGCGTCGCCACTGCTCCTGCGACGCTCGAGCGACCTGAAAAAGTTCCATACAAAGGTCCTCTAATGAAATGTCGCGCGAGCCGACCAAAATCTGCGAGTTGCCAGGTCGAACAGGTCGCGTCCCCGCGCGCGTCCCACTTAGGTCGCCCAGCTGGACGAGCGTGTACGGCGCCCGGTCCGCCGGCACCCGATATGACAGCATATTGATCTTTCGCCTTGTAGCGTGCTTGACGCTGTGTGGTAAAGCACTGTGTTCCGCGTCTGCGTCCATTTTGCCTGCCAAAAGTGGTGAACCAACTTAATCAAATGCAAATTTACAATGTCATGAAAGCGAAAATGTAGGTAGTGCTGTTACGCACTTTTCGGCGGCGGCAAGATTTCGCACGGCATCATCGCACGACCGATCTGCGTCGCTGTTCAGCCAGTATTTAGCCCAGTACATAAATAGCAAATACTGTGTATTACATATGACTTCTTCTTTTCACAATTTGTAAGGTTAGTTTGGCTTCTTTTCCTTCGCCGTTATCGTTCTGATAGACTGATCCTTGAGTCAATACATTCATTAAATCCTTGGACTGCTAGTGAATATAAAGCTAGTAAATATTGTCATTGTCGGTACAATCGCTGACGTTCAGCATTGTGGTCATGCTCGCCATGACCACGACACACTATGACGACGGGTGATCGCCTTAAGTCCGCGTCAGTTCGCGTAACGGTGCGAATCTTAGCGCTAGGTGCGAATGAGCATGCTTTTGTAACGCAAAGAGCTAACGCACAACGGCTATGAAAAAGCGGAAATCGGCCCTCCTGGCTAAAATTTTTAAATTTTATAATATTCAGATTGTAAAGGTTCATTTGGAAATAAACTTGCGTCGTTTTGGTCGACTTAAGCAATTCAATCCGTGCGTATGTTGAAACGCGAAGCATACGCGCCTGTGTAGCAAGGCGATACGCATGCGATTCCATATTGCGATTCGTGCGTGTGGGAGACAATGCGTAAAGCAATACGCGTCCAATCGCACATCACACGCATACAGTCCGCAAGGCTATTCACATGCGAATACACGTTGCGTTCCATGCGTATGAAGGCTGATTGCATACTTAACGCGGCCTAACACACACCAAACGCACACATGTCGCAACGCAATTCACATGCAAACAAATGTTGCATTTCAAGCGTATGAAGGCTCGTTGCGTCAAGTTTACTGCGGCCTAACACACCAAACACACACCAAACACACACCAGACACACACCAGACACACACCAAACACACACCAGACACACACCAAACACACACCAAACACACACCA